AGACGCCGCCCGCAGCAGCTGCCTCCGCGCCCCCCAAACCCCGGGCGATGTAGGGCGCGTGGAAGCCCTCGAGCCGCCCGAAAGGAAGGAGAAGGAGGAAGCCCAGCGCCGAGGAGGAGGAGGGCGACGCGGCGGACATGAGGAGGAACGCCACCTTCCGCTTCCCGGCGCGGGACCACTACCTGCCGGGTGAGGCGCCGAGGGGGCCGGAGGGCGGCGTCGAGGGTGGATGGGGGAGGGGAGGGGAGACTACCACACTAGTGTGTGTTTCTATACATATGTGCACACAGACACACACACACACACACACACACACGTACACAGACACATGTATATGTGTGTGTGTGTGTGTGTGTGTGTGTGTGTGTGTGCATATATATGTGTGTGCACACACGAGTTAAATTACCTAATTATCTATTAAAGTTGTTGTAAGTTCCTGTTGGTGATGGATGTGAGGGAGAAGAGCAAAACTATCTAGAAGGAAAACGACAAAACCAGGTAAAAAAGGGAAAGGGGAAGGGAGAAAGCCAAACGAAAGAAGGGAGAGAAGGATATGACAAAGCCAGTGGAAAAGGGGGAGGATAGAGACAGGTGAAGGGGGGGAGGGGAAGGGACAGAGACAGGAGGAGGTGGGGAGGGGGAAGGGCAGAGACAGGTGGAGGGGGAGGAGGGGAAGGGGACAGAGACAGGTGGAGGTGGGGAGGGAGAGGGACAGAGACAGGTGGAGGTGGGGAGAGGGGGGAAGGGGCAGAGACAGGTGAAGGTGGAAAAAGGAATGGACAAGACAGGCGAAAGAAGCAAGAAAAGGTACACAAACAGGAAACGAGACAAAGCCACTCAAAAGAGGGATGGAAAAAAAACAAACCCAGACAAAAAAGAGAAGAGGAAGGGCCATGATAAGGCGAAAGAGGGGAGAAAGGGGAAGGAAAGAGAAGAAGGGACAAAACTCGGTGAAAGGGGGAGGGAAGACACAAACCCAAGGTCAAGGAGGGAACGCAATGGACAAAAGAAAGGCGGAAAGGGAAGGTGGAGGGGACAAAGCCAGGCAAAAGAGGAGAGGAAAGAAACAAAGGGAAGGGGGAAAGCGAGCAAGAAGGGAAGGCTCGTGGCTTTTGTGCCTGACGCGGAAATATTCCGAGAGGAACGATGTCCCGCGCCTCTTCTTTCGTCCCTTTTCCTTGTCTTTGACGCTTTTTCCTTTTCCTCTTCTTCTTCATCTTCATTTTCTTTTCCCTCGTTTTCTTCCTTTTCTTCTTTTCATTTCTATTTCTATTTTTATCTTTTATTTATCCATTTTCGTTCTTATCTTTATAAATCCTTTCATTTTCATTTCTCCTTTGTTTCTTATTCTTATTCTTCTTATTATTCCTCTTCTTTTTTATTCCGTCGCGCCTCGTCACTGAATCTCCTGCAGGAGGACTAGCGGTTGCCAAGTGACCTGCCGCGTCCTCCTCCATCCGGATAATTCTCGCACTTACGCCCCTGCTCCTTCTGCCGAGGTCACCTTTCTGTATTTTCTCTCGCCCTTTCTTTGCTCTTCATTTCCTTTTAGACTACTTCGTCGTCATTCTTTTTATTGTCCTTATCTTTATCCTACTGTTTCTTTCTCTTGCTATATTTCCTCCCCTTCGTTTTATCCTCTTTTCCCATTCTTATTTTTTTTCCTCCTTAGCTTACTTTCCCTCTTCCTATTCGCCTTTTTCTTTACTCTCTCACTCCTCCCTTTCTTCCGAACGTCTGCTCTTCTCTTCCCTTCGTTTCCACGACATTTTTCCATTTCCCTGGGCGCCTGGAATGATTGGCATCGACTCCAGAATTGAAAAGTGGAAGTTCTGTGAATGTCGTCTGATTTCGCCAATTTCCCTTTGAATGTATCAAAGCCTCTTAAGTGTATCAAACCTGTCTGAGGCATGTACATAAACACACATGCATGTATGCATGCATGTATGTGTGTGTATATACACCCACACACATATATATGTGTGTGTGTGTGTGTACATATATATGAGTATATACTTATATATATAGATATATATAGATAAATAGATAGACGGATATAGATGTAGATAAAGATATTTATATGTGCATACATATATATATACACGTACACAGACACATGTATATGTGTGTGTGTGTGTGTGTGTGTGTGTGTGTGTGTGCATATATATGTGTGTGCACACACGAGTTAAATTACCTAATTATCTATTAAAGTTGTTGTAAGTTCCTGTTGGTGATGGATGTGAGGGAGAAGAGCAAAACTATCTAGAAGGAAAACGACAAAACCAGGTAAAAAGGGAAAGGGGAAGGGAGAAAGCCAAACGAAAGAAGGGAGAGAAGGATATGACAAAGCCAGTGGAAAAGGGGGAGGATAGAGACAGGTGAAGGGGGGGAGGGGAAGGGACAGAGACAGGAGGAGGTGGGGAGGGGGAAGGGCAGAGACAGGTGGAGGTGGGGAGGGGGAGGGACAGAGACAGGTGAAGGTGGGGAGGGGGAGGGACAG